TTTTTCCAGCGGAAAATCGAGTTCCTGACGCGGCAAATGGAGAAAATCCAACCAGCCCTGCAGGAGAAACACGCCATGAAACAGGGTTGGCACCCCCCCCCCCAGGACCCCCGGCTTTGGGGGACCCCCCCACGGACCCCTGACTCCCCCAGGGCTTGGAACCTCAACGCCCCCCCAACCCCCTTGGTTTTGGGGTCCCCGTGGGGTTTGGGGTCCCCTGACCCCTCATGTCCACCCCCCAGTTTTGGGGTCCCCCTGTCCCCAGTGTCCTCGCTGTGGTTTTGGGGTCCCCCCAGTTTGGGGGTCCCCCCTGACCCTCCTGTCTCCCGCAGCCGTTCTGGAGATGATGACGCAGAAGCTGCAGCAGCTCACGGCGGCCCCGGGCGGGGCCAAGGTGTGACCCCCCCTTCATCCTCCTCATCCTCGAGGGGGTGGCCCCCCCCCCCAAATCCTGGCCCCCTCAGCCCCCCCAGATCCCCCCTCCCGTTTTGTAGCAGCTTTTGCTGCCAACCCCCAATAAAGGAGAGACGGAGTGGGGGGTCCTGGGGGGGTTTTTGAGTGGGGCTGGGGGGCTTTGGGGGGGTCTTGAGGTACAGGGGAGGTTTACTGGGGGGGGGGGGGGCTCTGCCACACCTACACCCACACAATTTGGGGTACCCCCTTCCTGGGTTTAGGAACCCCCTTCCTGCTCTTGTGGCCCCCCCCCGACCCCCATCCTAGTCATTGGGTTCTCCTGACTCCCCCTCCCCAGTTTTGGGACCCCCCGGCTCTCCTGACCTCCTCCTTAGCTTTGGGGCCTCCCAACCTCCCCTCCCAGTGTTGGGGTCCCCCAACTCCCCTCTCAGGTTTTGGGGCCCCCTTGACCCCCCCCTCCTTGTGTTTTGGGGTACCCCCCAGCCCCCTCCCGGTTTTGGGGCCCCCATTTGCCCCCCCCCCAAAATCCTGTTGCCCCCCCCCTCGACCCCCGAACCCCCCAAAACTCCCCTCCCCAGGACTTTTTGCCACCCCCCCCCGAGTTTTACCACCCCCCATGTAGGACATTTTTGCCCCCTCCTCCCCCAAAAAACACCCTCAGGTCCCCCAAACACAACTTTATTCACAGCCCTGCCCCCCCCACCCCCACAGGGGGGTCCCGATGTCACCACTCCCCCCAGGGGGTCCCACTTCTTGTGTGTGTGTCCCCTCCCCCTCTATTTACAGCTTTGGGTTCTGGCACCGACAGGGACATTGGGAGCACTGGGGGGTCCTGGGGGGCACCGAGGTGACACGGGAACACGGAGGAATTTGGGGACACCGTGTCCCATTGTGTGGCACTGTCCGTGTGTCCCCAGACCTGTCCCCATGTCCTGCCTGTGGCACAGCCCGTGTGTCCCCTGGCATGGTGTCACACAGTCCCTGTGCCCCCTCAGGGCACAAGGAGTGGCAGGTGCCCGGAGCTGTGGCCAGGGCAGAGCCACTGTGGGCCAGGTGTCCCCCTGTCTGTGTGTCCCCTGGCCATTGTCCCCATGTCCCCTTGGGGTACAAAGAGCCCTCAGTGCCCCCTCCGGTGCCGGGGCAGTGTCCCACTGTCCATCTGTCCCCTGTCTGTGTGTCCCCATGTCCCAAACAGCAGCTGGTGCCCTCTGCAGTGGCAAGGCCATGTTCCACTGTCCATGTGTCCCCTCCACGGTGTCCCCGTGTCCCCTCAGGGCCCGAAGAGCGGGAGGTGCCCCCTCCGGTGCTTCCTCAGTGCCGCGCTCCGGGCGAAGCTCTCCCCGCACTCCACACAGATCAGGGGCTCCCCAGCTCCCTCCTCTGCCCCCTCCACCCCCGAGGACTCCCCCCTCGCCTTGGGAGGCTTCCCGGGGTACTGGGGGGCTCTCCGTGGCCGTGCCCCCCCCGCGTGGGTTCGCTGGTGCTTGATGAGGTTCTTGCTCTGCGTGAAGCTCTTCCCGCAGTCGGAGCAGCCGTAGGGCCGTTCCCCGGTGTGGATCCGCTGGTGCTGGATGAGGTTGGAGCTCCAGGAGAAGCTCTTCCCGCAGTGGCCACACCTGTAGGGCTTTTCCCCGGTGTGGGTGCGGCGGTGCTGCACCAGGTGGGAGTTCTGGGAGAAGCTCTTCCCGCACTCCCCGCAGGTGCTCGGCCGCTCCCCCGTGTGGGTTCGCTGGTGCCGCAGCAGCTTCGACCAGTGGCTGAAGCTCTTCCCGCACTCGTTGCAGATAAAGGGGCGTTGCCGACCCCCCCCGCGGCGCCCCCCCCCTTCCTCAGACCCGCCCTGGGAGGGGCCCGGGGGTGCCCGCGGGGCGGGGGGGGCACAGGGGGCTGTGGGGGATCACGGTCTGGATGATCTCCTGCGGCAGAATTTCCTCCTCATCCTCGCTCACGATCCCGTCATCGGCTGGAGGGAGGGGAACCAACAAACAGAGGTACTGACCCCAGGAATGGGCACTGTGCCCTAGAAGGGGCTGTAACCCCCTCACTGCCCCCCCAAAGGGGCAGTATCCCCAACCCAGGGTGGCTGGAGACCCCAAAAGGGTTTGTACCCCCCCCAAATGGTCACCGCACCTCAAAAGGGGTTGTAACCCCCCCCAGGAATGGTCACTGTACCCCAAAAGGTCTGTACCCACATCCCAGGGTGCCTGGAGACCCCAAAAGGAGTTGTGACCCCCCTAGGAATAGGCACTGTGTCCTAAAATGGCCCTCACTGACCCCCAAAAGGGGCTGTACTCCCTCCCAGGCAGTCTGGAGACCCCAAAAGGAGTTGTAATCCCCCCAAATGCCCTAAAAGGGTCTGTACCCCCTTACTGTGCCACCAAAAGGGACTGTACCACCTGTCCCAAATGATCACTGCACCCCAAAAGGGGCTCTACCTCCTCCTCAGGTGCCTGGAAACCCCCAAAAGTGTCTGGAGCCCCCCAAAAGTCACTGTACCCCCCTCCTTGGGTACCTACTGCACCCCAAAAGTGCATCCTGAAGTGCCTGGACCCCACAAAACTGCCCATACCCCCCTTCTGGGGTGCCTGGAGCCCCTCCCAGTTTTGGAGTCCCCCCTCACCGATGAAGACCCTCCTGACCACGTCCCCCTCGTCCCCCTCGTCCGAGTCCTGCAGCTCCACCACCTCAGGCTCCTCCTGCTCCATGGGGGGGTTTGGGGGGCCTGGGGGGAAATGGGGATCCTGAGCACCCCAAAACACACGTGGGACCCTCTCGACCCCAGAAACACCCCCCCCAAATCCCAAAGGACCTTTTGTGTCCCATTTTCTGCTGTGCTGGGGATGGATCCTCTGAATCCAGGGATTTGGGGAGGGGCTGCTCCCTCCAATCCCTCTGTGCCCTCCCAAATCCCTCTGTGTGACCCCAAATCCCTTTGCTACCCCCCCAATCCCTTTGTGCCCCCCAAATTCCTTTGTGCCCCCAAAATGTGAACCCAAATCCCTTCTTTCCCCTCCAAACCCCTCTCTGTGCCCCCCCCAAATCTCTGTGCTTCCCAAACCCCTCTGTGCCCCCAAATCCCTCTGTGTGACCTCAAATCCCTTTGTTTCCCCCCAAATCCCTCTGAGTGACCCCCAATCCCTCTGTGCCCCCCCAAATGTGACCCTAACCCCCCTGCACCCTCCCCAATTCCCCCTGTGCCCTGCATTCCCCCCCCCTCACCTGTTCCTTGGGGGGTCTTGGGAGGTCCCACTGTTGCTCCGGACTCAGCTCCCGAAATCTGGGGGAGGGGGATGGGAGGGGTCACAGGGAGGTCCCGGGGGGTCCCTTGTACCCCCCCCCCCCC